CACACACACACACACACACACACACACACAGAGCGACTGAATGAGGCACACTAGTTGATCTAATGCATCCTTTGAAACAGTAAACTCAGCCAACACACATGCAGAACAGAACAACCTCTTCCACACACAGGCATTTAGTAAAGCATCAAGATGTTTAAATGAAGCTTCCTGTGCCCAAAATAAAAAAAACCCACATTATTTTCACCAAACTCTAGAGAAGAAAGTTATTTTGCACATTCCTTTATTTTCTCCACCACAGGCATCATCATGATGACAGGGTTATCTGTGCCTGGTCGACCACACAGCAACTTTTACAACAACAAACCCTGTCAGGTGGGGATTCAGATCCTAGCAGTCTGAAGGGTGAGGCTGAAATTCATTATTTTCAGATGTGCTCTTCACACATTAAGCTTGTGTCCTGATTTCTGACCCCCCCTTGTCATTTGTTGTATAATCTATGATGATGAGTCTCTCCCTCTCTCTCTCCTCATTCCTTAATATTCTTTCAAGACATTTCACCCCCTCTGAGTGGTTTGCAGTGCACTCGGCAGCCTGACATGTCTGTTTCACATGTAAGACTTCCTATAGCCCTGTAGTTGAGCAGACAAAGAGAGCTACAGATCAAAATGGCTGCCCTGCATCACCAACACAAATTCTGCACAGGGATGGAGGAGACTGTGCTGGCTACCACGTGCCGCTTCCCCTCCCCCACTGCCTCTCTCTCTATCCACTTCTCCATCACGTTACATCTCTCCCTCATTCTACATCTCCCCAGCATCAGGGACAGTCCCTTCTTCAGGTCTACCCCATTTTAATGCTCTCAATAAACAGTATTGTGTGACCCTTTGTATTTAATTTGTTGATTTGCATCAACTGCATTTGTTATAGTTTGCCTGCATCCATCCCTGTTCATTTTCTCTGAGTGCAGCTTTATGCCAATGGGCTGCACTACGTCACGAAGGGAACTAGGTCACTGAAGTAGTGCACTGCATGGTTGTGTGTCTCTATGTGAGAGCATCTGTGGCAAAGCTTTAGCAGGGATGATGCCAAGACTTTTTCTCTTTCATTGTAGCTTTTGTATTGTTCTCTGACACCTCTGCAGCCCATCACACAATGCTCTCTGGCAGGACACTATAAAGGAATCTAAACATAGGAAAAGAATCACATGTTTGAATGCGAGATATTCAATATTATTCCCAGCACAAGTATAAATTAATCTTTATGAATATCAAAGAATCAAAGTCACTGAGAAATGAAGCAAAACATATCAACATGAGGTGTTGGAAAGGCGTAAAACTAAATCTGACACAACGCCACACAAAAAGATTGGAAGTGGGAGTAATTGGAAATTGATTGTTGCATTGAATACAAAGAAAAATGAAAGAAAAGAGACAGAACCAGAGTTATAGATTTTAGTGCTATTGCCTGTTTTCATTGTGGTCTGATGCAGCAACAGGAAATAAAGAGGGAAAAGTTAAAAGTGTTGATGAGACATATCATATGCTGAATTATCATTATAGAAACAAAGATTTTAATGAATGTGCTGATCTCACCTCTGTGAGAATATTCTCTGACTCAGTTTTGTTTCTTGGCACTGTCCTGGTAGCACTGTGGTCAACACTCAGAGTGCACTGACTGAAGGGTCGAGGGTAGTTCATATCGCTTTTCCGGGAGTCAGTAGTTCCATACACCTCATAGCTAAAGGCCTGCTTGAGGGTACCTGTGCCTCCTACGTCTGCGTAAAGGGGCGGGTAATAAGGAATGACAGGAAGATTCCCATGGGATTTGTAAATCAGGCGTTCGCGTCTCCACCTGTAGATTTTCACTGATATAATAACCACTACACATGTGATGAAGAGGAAGGAAACTACAGCCAGAGCCAACACTAAGTAAAAAGTCAGGTTGTCGTTGTACTCCTTGTCGTGCGTAAAGTCAGTGAACTC